CACACACCCAATGCAGGGGGGCTGGGTTCAATCCCTGGTCAGGGAACTAGATCCCACATGCTGCTGCAAAGATTCCACATACCATAACTAAGACCCGGTGCAGCCAAATAAATAAATGATGGGCTTAACAATAACCTGGAGATTGCAGATGTAAGGATTAACTAATTTAAAGCTCCAGCAAGAGAAATTATACAATCTGAAGCACTGAGAGAAAAATGGTTGAGCAAATAAAGAGCCTCAATGATATTTCGGAAAATATCAAGCAGTCTAACACACATGAAATTGGAATCCTACAGGGAGAGGACAGCAAGAAAGGGACAGAAAGTATTTAAATAAATAACTTAACAAAAATTTCCTAAAGTTGGTGAAAGACATGACTTACAGATCCAAGAAGCCCAATACATCCCGAGCAGGATAAATACAAAGAGAAACACACAACTCAGTACCTCGTAATCAGACTACTGAAAAATAAAAATACAGAGAAAAATCAAAAAGATAAAATAAAAAATTATTAATAAAGAGAAAGAGAAAAATCTTAAAAGCTGCTGGGGGTCAGAGGATTACACAAAATTGACAGAGGAACAATAATACAAATGATGGCTAATTTCTCATCAGCAACATTGGGGCCCTGAAGACAATGGAATGGTGTTTTTAAAGTGCGTAAGGAGAAAAATACAGTCAGCCCAGAATTCTACATCTAGTGGAAATATCTTTCAAAAAAGGGGTAAAATAAAGATATTTCAGTTAAACAAAAAATAAGAGAATTCATTGCTCTCAGACTTGCACTATGAGAAACACTAAAATTCATTTTAAATAGAATTTAGCTACTTTCACCTAATTCTCTAAACTTTTCAGGCTAATCATATGCGCTGATAGAGTTTAGGACAATGATTCCAAGTCTATAATGAAAAGAGTATTTGTTTTAATGGTACTGAGCTGTGTATAATATAAATCACTATTTCCCAGAAGTATGGAGGGGAATTTCACTTAGATTGATCATAATTATCATATGAACACGGGTGGTTAATTTTTCTACTCATTTAGGTATGGGCAGAGAAGCTGAACATAGGGTGGAAGTATAGTTAGAACTTCTTTTGGAAGGAAGTTTTTGCTCAGGGTGTGGAAGTGAGTTGGCCAAGCATGGGTATAGGAAATGAAAGAGAAAGGGTGGAGTCTTTCTTCTGCTATAAAGCAAAAAACCATGGCTCCTAGTATAACAGGGCACAATGAATGTCTCAGGCAATCTGATCAAATTCATTAGCAAAAAAAAGCAGAATTAACACTTTTCCTCATGCACCAAACATGTGGAGAAGTCCTCCGAAGAGTTCCATTTCACTGAATCTTGTTCCTGTATTAGCATATTAGGTAGTTCTAAGAAACTTGACGAGGCCATACAAGGGAAAGCAGTGATCCCCTTCCTCCGCAATAGCATATGAAGCCCCCCAGATACTCCACCAGTTAGGCCTCCGTAAGTTGTTTAAACTACAGAGTAGTCCCCTAGAGGAGAAGACAGTCGGTCACTCACTTGCTTCTGCTACAGTTCTTTCCCCTGACAATCACAGATAGAAACGCTCTAAATAATAGAAAACCCTGAAAAAAGGAAGTATATCACATGGGATGAGCACATAGATTTCGGAGCCTGACCGTATGAGTTTAAAACTGGGTTCTTTGTGGCTTTGGGGAAGTTTACCTCTGCCTCAGTTTCCTTTTTTATGACCCTCAAGTGCCTGCCTTGCATAGGGCTCTTATGAGGATATGAAACATATGTTAGGTTATTAGCAGTATATGTATTTTCACAACGTGTTTTCTATTATAATTAAAAAATGAATGGTGTAAAATCCAGCTCTCTGGTTTCATCTGTCGATTCTACTAAGTAGACTCCCGGAGAACCCCCGGTTTTTGCAGGGAAATGGATTCTTCTGCATTTAAAGATATACATCTATTGGTTTTCCAGGCAAGTGTCACACCGAATAGTCACTGTTAGGCTGGTAATACTTAGGGCCAAATGGCACTCACCAGTTGCCAGCCACAAGAGAACAGTGTGTCAAGGACTACAGTGAGAAGTGGGCTGTGACAAAGGCATTAGGTGAGCAGGTGGCTTCAGAGTGACAGTTCTCAATGGAGAGGACCAGAGACACTACCTCTTAAAGCTGTTGGGGTGGAATGGCACAAGAGGCCAGATTATTTACACAAAGGAAGGGAGGTTCTCTTCAATGTGATTCTAGGATGGAATTCCATGTATTTAAGAGAACATTATACAACTTCACTTGTGACCTAGGCTGGTGTTATCAAAAGCTAGTGTCTATTAGACTTACAGAACAAAGTGAGAGACCAGAAAAAGCTAGCTTCCTAAAACAATCTGTGCTTCCTAAAACTGCCTTGGTGTGGGGTAATCCATGGCTCATGATCAAAGAGTCTTTTCAACTTAAGATGGACCCTTTATTTGCAAGCAAGTTACCAAGGACAGAATTTGATGGCCCAAAATGACCTCTAGGCAAAGGCAACTGGCCCTGTTCATAAACCTTATCAAAATAATCCCAGCTCTGGTCAGCTTCTCCTTGGCTTTTACAGTCTGAAGGAGCCTCTCCCAGGAGGACCCTCCTCCAACCCTTCTGGAAGAGGTGGTGAGGCTGCCTGGTATTAAGTAGGGAAAATGCAATTTAAAACAAAACTCCAGGAGTCTGGCTACAAAATTCAGCTGTGCTCAGAAATGGAAGCTTAACGCAGACACCCACTCCTACTGGGTTCTTTGTCAGTGTCAGGCCCTGGTGTTAACAGGAGGCCCTGGACTCTGGGAAGGAGGCTTGGGGAAGGCGGACGGGGATGGTGGGAACAAAGAAGCTGAGGCAGAAATATCCGTTCGCAAGACAAGTCATGCAAAAAGAGCAGGAAGAACAAACACTAGTCAATTTTTTTAAAAAAGATGTTTCAGAAGGTTGGGAAGCCCTTAAAACTGGAGACTGGAATACGAATAAACTAAAAGAATTAAAGGAAATGTTTTAAAAAATAATGAAGTTTAAATGAAGCTAAAGAGTTGAAAGAAAAAAGAAAACTAGATTGGAGGTTAAAATAGCAGACAATAAGGACTAAATTGAAGTGAAATAAAGGTTAAAATATTTTTGACTCAGAAAGTTGAAGGTCTAGTAAAAGAATAAGTAAAATCTGTGAGGTTAAAAAAAAAAATTTAAAGGTGAGGTGGCAGGCAGTACGAGAAATTGACTATGGTCAGCATGATAATCAATTAGGACGCTCTGAGGTGGACCCAATGTTCTCAGCAAGTCATCTCATACTGGACAGCAAGTTTTGCTCTCTTGTTGAATGAGTAAGAATCTGTTTATTTGGCTAGGGTGTAAGTTCGTGAAGTCTATACTTCTACATAGTTCTTGAGGCCTGACCATTCTCTTTCCTTAATTTCATATTTCATTAGCACCACCATCAGCAAAGTCTGACATTAGAATCAATGCTGTCAATTGATACCAGTTCTGGAAAATGTGGTTAGAACGTGACGTTATTTGGAGTCTACGAAAGACAAAATTTGTGATATATTCTGAACAAGGTCATTTAAAAATTTATCTTTGTATCAGCTATGATAAAAGACTTGTTAAAAAGTAATAGAACAACAAAACGCGAAAGAACATTTAACCCAATATGGTGTTTAAGAACTTTAAAAGCATATAATGAAATTCAGGGGCTATGAGAAATCATTCCTGCCTATGAAGGGATTTCTAAATGACTTCTACACAAAGCACTATTTTGATAACCTGGTTCTATATCTATGAAAATACCATTAAGTAATAAGGGACATATTTTTTCAAATGTCACAATCCAAACATTTTACCATTAGGCCTAACATTCTTTTAATGAGGTTTTATTACTGTGTCTATTTTAATTAGTCTTTGCTTTGCAAATGTTCCGCCAACTCACTCCAGCTTTTGTATTGAAGGCTCTAGGATATCAGCAACATTGACTAATTCCTAATTTGTTGGATGTCTCCTATGCCACCATTTCACTTTTGCTGTTTTACTAAAATTTGTTGGTACCTACCCTCCAGTAACTGCCCAGTTTATGGGACATCCAGAAATTATCTAGTTAACCCTATACTAATTAAAATCCAACTCTGCATCTCGTTATTAAATAGACTGCAAGGCAGACCTTGTGAACGAAATTTTTATTTACACACTGTATCTAGAAGCAGATACATAAATTCTTTATACGATTAATTTCCAAAAATGTGCAAGAAATTACTCTAATTTGTTTACAAACCAAAACACGTATTAAAATCAATGGACTTTGGATAATTCATTCTGTGGTGTTCTCAGTACAAATGGTACACACCTGATTCGAAACATACAGAAAAGTGTAAACTACAGCAATCTGGATTGCAAGTATTAATTCCATGGCACTCCAACGACTATAAAATTTCTTGAACCCAACATGTATACTTATTACAAAATTCTATAAGAATTTTTCATCACCTCTGGATGTAGAGTTTGGATCACTTTTCAGAAACGGCAGCTACACATTCGCCATGTTTTAACTGATTAATAAAAAAGGATGTTTATAAAAAATCTTTACAGGATTAAAAAAGTATTAAAAGAAACCGAATTTGTGATTACTAGCGTACCAGTACTTTATTCTAGAATTTTAAAGTTATTTACGGAACTGGCGACTGTTCCTTATTAGAGTTTTCAACAAAACTGTCTATTGCTGGTAGCATGATTTCATTTTCAAATTACGACTTCGCATTCGATGAAAAGCCATGAACATTTAAAATACGTTACTTTGAATCATTCATAAAGCAAGTATCTCTCATATACAATGTGAAATGTACAATGATCAAAATTGGCATTTCTGAAAGCATTGTTAAGAAAGATATTCAGACTGGTAGCACTAGTAGAGACACTGCATATAACCTACCTAAGATTTCAGTAACTTTTATCCTGTTTCAGTAATACTGGCTCAGAAATTATCATGTGTATATACTTGGGTTTTATTTCCTATATGCCAGTGATATAGCCTCTTGGCACATGATTTTCTTTAACAGCAAGATGGTTGCCCTGTGTAGCTGGTTTCCTTAAAAACTATTTTTAGTTCTATGATCGTTTCCTGTGATATTTTTTGACCTTCCAAAATTTTCACATTATTGCACCAAACAGAACAGTTTTCCTTAGAAAGAGAAAGAGACTTTTTCAAGTACTTTCTATGCTTTCTTATTATTTGTAAAATTGCATAATAGTGTCCTAGTAACACTGGAAATAGCTTCTGGCCTCCATCATGTTTCTGTGACGAGATATTTGATAAAAAGCAACTCTGATTCATTTATTATGGCAGAAAGATACAGCTTTCTTGTCTTCTTTTTCTTGCCTTGAGCTCAGATTTTCAGAAACACATATTTAAGAAATGACTTACAGGTAGTGCCCATGTCATCTACGCTACCATTCAACAGAATCCAGAAATTCACCCAAATGCTACCTAGACAAAACTACAGGATGATTTCTCTTTTTCCCCTTTCCAATTTTAACCAGCCTGTTTTACTACCCTACAAAGCCAGTCTTTCACATTATGTTGTACTGCCTATATGCCAAATGGTTCTCTTTAAACAAAAGCAGAAAATATTGCAACACTCCTTTCTCTGTAAATAACTTCTTGGCAAATATTTTTATTTTTACTGATACACTATCAGACCCCAGCAATTTGAAATTGGATTAGAATAGGGCATTTTACTTAAAAGTATTTTATATTATGAACATAAAAAAGCACATTAAAGATTGGCTTTCTGAATTAGAACAGTATCAAGACTTGCCCTCCATAAAAACACAAAATACAATTTTAAAACCATTTATATGGAAATCAGAATGATCTTAACTTGAAACCAAATGGCTAGATCTTAAACACATGGTATCATGAGGAAGGCGTGGGGAACAGGCTACGCCCACATTAAGATGGGGTTCAGGGCAGTCCAAAGACCTCTGTGCACCATGATCTCACAAAGAGTACATGTAAATGCTTCTAGAAACATGGAGAAGCCATCTCAACATTTATTATTAATACACAGTGACTCTGTGACAATACCTGCCATCTAATATAGATGCACAGGGACTTTTAACTCACCCTAGATATATTTTAAATTGTTTAAAAATAAATAGTTTTGCAAAAAAATAGTTTAAATGTCTTGCATTAATTTGATAAGTTTACAACTCTGTAATAGTTCTTAATCCAAATAGCTTACAATGAACACTTAAATTATATTATTACAGTATACTCCATATTCCATCTTATTAGGTGAAAACATATCAGAAAATGAAAGAGGAGTCTTTGTCACAAGGTACAATCAAACATTCCACCAAAATTAAGTACCTTTTCCCCTTTAAGTCAAAATATCGTAACAGATACTATGGCATTGTGCCTTTTCTTGGTAATTCTCAGTTGACTCTAAAAAACAAAGAGAGAAAAAAATGGGGATACTGTTTATGTCTGAATGACAACGCTATTACATTTGATCTGAGACCTTTACTCTTGTTTTTAAATGGGGGTAAGAGATAGGAAAACCGAGGGACAAAGGAAGAAATATCTTAAATTACATGCTTCGTCTGAGAGGGAAACATTTCCTTTAAAGTTATGTAGCTAGAAACATCTTCTGGATGGAGCAATTCCGAAACACTAAAGAATCATGCAGTAAATAAACACTGCATTTCAAAATAAAAAGTATTGGAGGTAACATACTCCACCCCCGCCCAAAGGACTGACTCAGAAGAGATGAAAAGACTAATGATGTCAATTTACTAAGGACTTAAAAAGAAACAAATAGAAAACCTATTTTTAAAGGTCAGTATATACGGTAGGCAAACACTTCCATACACCTGATTGGGTTTTAATATTGTTCTTACATGGTGCTCCACAATCTCCACAGTTTGTCAACTCAAGTCACTGGGTTTTTTTGGTTTTTTGTTTTTGTTTTTTTGGTGGGGGGGAAGGAAGGGTCAAATCTAGCACATCTCAATAGTGACTGCATAAAAGAAAAATATAAACCCAACTTTAAAACAGTGTTTTCTTTCTATTCAAATCAATTTAAAACTTTATATAAACTTTATGTTGCAAGAGGATCTAGTCCATTTATGAAAATCATTTCTACATCAAGTTCACCCAAGAAAATGTTGACTAAGCTAAAGAAATCACAGATAAAACATTTTACCAAAGGAAAGTATAGATAACAATAAAACTGCTTAACACCGGAAACTATGATCATCTAGTATTTCTTTAATAGTTCTAGTTCCATTAGGTCTTTATATGTTACGCCAATTTGTACCAGAGTTTAATGACAGAAAAGGCAACAATTTCTAAATTGGTGGTATACATTTCTTTACAATTCTGTAAGGCCATTTATTAAAACAGACAAACCACAAGATGAAAATGAAGGCAACAGAAAAGTCCAACTTCTCACAACCAACATAACAGCACAACCTTAAAATAATTTAGAACTGAATGTTGTAAAAGATATGTAGCAGATCTCTGTTCCATTACCCAAGATTATGTCAGTTCATAATTCTAAATAAATCCTTCTGAAGTATGAAATTAAAAATCATTTTCAGTGTAGGTGTGACCTCTGTGACTTATCACACGGCTATGTTTACTCAACACTATCTTTGAAAACGGGCCATTGAAAGAGACATAACAATGTTCATTCTATAAGTTTCATTTAACTTTACTTAGTATTGAATACACATGAAATGTGCTTTTAATGCATAAAAATCACAGTGGATAGCAGCAAAGGACTGGGGGCGGGGTGGGTAAGGAGAATCTGATTAATTCACATTGTGATTATTCTGCACACTGATGGAAGATAGTTTACTCTTCTAAAAGCTCAAGACTTCCCTTTTTAAAGAACCAAAGTAAACCCAAGACACCTTGCCGACACTTGCCCACCCCTAAACGAACTGGTTACTCTTTTACACATAAAACTGAAACAGTATGGCAGCAAAAGATTTTGATAGCAATGGAAAGTCTGTAAACTGTATTCCAATCTCTTTTCCTTCCTCCCCAAGTGCAAGACGCAGGGTTCTCAGAGCCTCTCAGTAGTGCTTCTCCTGTAAATAATCCTTCATTTTGTTTGGCAGAGGCAGCTTCTGAATCAGGTCTATTCTGGTGTACTGACGGATGACGAACCGGCACAGGTACTGCAGGGAGCGCACCTGCATGAAGCGCGACACGGGGTTGGTCAGCCTGACGGGGTAGGTGGCCGAGCCCGGCAGGCGAGACCGGGAGTAACAGAAGGCCCCGTTCTCGGAGTCCCTGACTGAGTGCTCGATCAGGTCCACGATAGACGTGTGTCCTTCCACGTCCGGCTGTTCATAAAAGCTAAACCTACCATTTGAATGTTCGATTCTAGTGTGAAGGGTCTTGCCGTGCGAGCGGAAGCTCAAGCTTAAAAGGTAGCGGTCGTCAGAACTGTCCCGAACGAGGAAAGAGCCATCCGGCACGTTGGCCAGCTTCCCTTCTGCCTCCCAGCGAGTGATGGGGCCCCAGTACCATCCCTGTTTCGCAAGTTTCTTCAGCTCCTCCGTAAGGCTTGTCACGACCATGGGACCACTACTCTGCACTGAGTCATAAACTCTGGCAACCCCGGGGGCAGAGTTAGGATCGAAATTCAAGTGACAGCGCATACTTTCGGCCACGTGGGCGTCGGAGCCGGCGAGCCCGCCGAAGTTCCTTTGGATCTGATTCGTCTGCAGGGGAGGTAGCAACGGTGAGAGTGGCGGGGCGTCGTCGGGACTCGCCCTCGGGCTCTGCAGCACGACTCCCGTGGTGCCGATCAGCAAGCCGTTCACCGACTGGTCCACGAAGATCTCTGGGGCCACCACGAGGTCTGGGTCTACCTGATTCTCGTCTTCGGGGAAGGAGCCCCCTCCCACTGGAGGAGGGACCGCGGAGACTTCCATGGGGGAGGAGCCGTCCAGACAATAGCCGCGCGGTCCTTCCAGAGGGTACATCCCCTCCTCCAAAGGCACAGTGTACTGAATGTAGTCCTGAGGCACGAGTCCGATAACGACAGGCACATGTTCTTCCAGGTGGAGATGCAGGTCCCCATCCTGAGACTCAGAACTCTTGAGCGAGTTCGTCTGTTCTTGGCACGCGGTGTCGGCCTGGAGGTCGTGGAAGTCCTTGCGCACGCCGTTCAGGGCCGGGCCCGGGCCAGGCGAGTGGACCAGGGCCTTGACCCTCACCTCCATCTTGATGCACGTCTCCTCCGACGCGGTGGGGCGCAGGGGCCACGGCGTGGGGCTGTAGTGGTGGCTGCGCAGCGAGGTGGACCTCATGGGCCTCTGCGCCCTCACGTCCTTGAAGACGATGGGGGCCGAGGAGGAGGAGAAGGTGTCCTCGTCCGCGGAGCCCCCGGAGGGCGCGCCGCCCTTGCCCTTCGGCTTCTGTTTCGCAGACAGCCGTCTTTTCAACGTACCCATTAGGCTTTCACTTTTTGATCTACTCTTTCCGCCTTTTTCATCTTCACTGTTGAGATCACAGCTGGCTATATCTTTCCCATAGCAGCTACCAAATAAGGAATCCTCTTTTCCAAAGTCACTGGCTAGTGACGGTTGTTGTACAACCATAAAATCCGCTTCTTCTTTACTTTTATTCAAGTTGAAAGATTTCCGGAAGGTTTTAAGACTAATCTTCTTCATTCTGACTAGTTACCTAATCCAAGGGAATCAACTGCTCTCTGGAATATTATCCTCGAACATCTGGAGAGGCTGCACGCAATGCTGCATCTATGTATTTTTCCCGCTTCATTTACCCTTTGGAGCCATTTTCTAAAAAAATGCAAAAAATAAAAAATGTTAGAAGGCTACATTAAAAAATATCTCCACAAAAAGTTTTACTTTAGTCACTTTCAATCCTTTAGCTTCTGAACAAGGATGCCTGAGTATGTTTATAAGAAGGTAAGCTCCATTAAGACATATTTTTTCCATTTCACACAGCACAATGCATCACTGCCTACTACCTGATCAGCACTGGACAAATATTTGATAATGCTTAAAGAGCAACCCCGACTCTACCTCTTTCCTTTCTGCACCTTACTTTGATTTTACCCTAATTACGGTTCGTGTTCCTTACTTCCTAACACAGCTCTAACAGAGCCACTCATCCTCTTCACACTGATCCACACCGTCCCCGGCCTCTCCAGCTACCAGGCTACCAGCCTGTGTCCTGCAAACGGCCAGCACTCAACAGAGAAGGCCCCACATCCGTAATAAGCCTCATCGATTCTACAACAAGCTATAACGTATTTTTAAATATTCAAACATCTGTAAAAATGAATTAAAGCAGTCCCATCATCTGTGATGAGTTATCTAGGAAAAGCCTAGAAACGTCCTTCTATAGCCATGAGTTAGTTCAGCGAGAACAGGGCCCATCCACCTTCGCGTTGCCAGTACCCTGCACAGCCAAGAGCGCCCCGAGAGGGGTACTTGCAGCTTCAACACTTTCACCTGCAGGGAACACTCCTAACAACTAGATAAGTACAACTCATCATAGTAGTAGAAACTGCATTTATTTGTCTTAACAGGTAGAAATTGGTGACCTGAAGACTAATAAAAGCCTCCCTGTGTTAAGTGATAATTTTCTGGCTCACTAGCAATGAACCCAATTTTGTCCACCAAAAAACTGGGCATCAGTTCACACAGATATTAAGAAAACGTAACTACCAATATCCATAAAACCAAAGGCTGTGAAAACCAGACAAAACAAACATGTTTTGCCGCAACAACAGGGACGTTGCAAAGGAAGTAACGTTTACAATAATAACCGAACATCAGCAAATTCTCGATAAACGAGATCAATGGATCGGTATCCAAAATGGCTTGTATCTGGTCTGTCTGGAGCGTCACCCCCACCGCCTCCCAAACCCAAGCATGTAAATCTATTTAAAGCTCGATATAGACGGTCAGGCCCAGCTGACTTTCTAGGAATGGTATAAAATGTTAATTCAGATTTCTAATTATTAGAGAAGTGCAAATCAAAACTACATTGAGGTACCACCTCACATCTGTCACAACGGCCAACACTAAAAAGTCTACAAATAAAAATGCTGGAGAGGGTGTGGAGAAAAAGGAAACCCTCCTGCACTGTTGGTGGGAATGTAAGTTGGTACAGCCACTGTGGAGAACAGTATGGAGGGTCCTCAAGAAACTAAAAATAGAACTACCATACGACCCAGCAATCCCACTCCTGGGCACATATCCAGACAAAACTCTAATTCAAAAAGACACATGCACCCCTATGTTCATAGCAGCACTATTCACAATAGCCAAGACATGGAAGCAACCTAAGTGTCCATCAACAGATGAATGGATAAAGAAGATGTGGTACACAGATACGATGGAATAGTACTCAGTCATAAAAAAGCACAAAATAATGTCATTTACAGCAACATGGATGCAACTTGAGATTATCATACTAAGTAAAGTAAGTCATAAAGAGAAAGACAAATACCATATGATATCACTTATATGTGGAATATAAAATATGACACAAATGAACCTATCTAAGAAACAGAAACAGACTCATGAACACAGAGAACAGACTTGTGGTTGCCAAGGAGGAGAGAGTTGCGGGAGGGATGGAGTGGAAGGCTGGGATTAGCAGATGCAAACCATTATATATAGAATGGATAAACAACAAGATCCTGCTATATAGCATAGGGAACAATATTTAATATCCTATGGTAAACCATAATGGAAAAAAAATATTAAAGAATGTATATATGTATAACTGAATCACTTTGCTGTGCAGCAGAAATTAAAGCATTGTAAATCAGCTGTACTTCAATAAAAAAAGAGAAGAAAAGTTCAGTTTCAATCTTAATTATGAAGCCTTTTGTTTTTCTACTGCTGTGCCTCGTTTATGCTATTTTGCTCCTCCTGATAAATGTTCTCTTCTTCTTTCCTAATCCACCTTTCAGGGAATTCCTTAAAAAATATACTTCCTCCTTAAATATTCTCTGATCACCCAGCCAGAAAGGAGTTCCCTCCCTTTTCTGGACTCCAAATACTCAACCTGTACCTCTTTAACAGTATGTCACACAGTGACTTAGAACTGCTTGTATTCTATTCATGTCTTATCTCTCCAACCAGATTGTAGTACTGAAAAATAGAGACCATGTCTTATTCGTTTTTTATATTCCTAACCAGGAACTATCATTAGATACTTAATATACACTGCTTAAACTCTTTGATACCAAATAAATATTCCTTAGCTGTCAAGTAAATGGATAGAAAAATCCACACTGTGCAAAACTGGCTAAATCTCCTCTTATCAAAATAAAGCGCTCCATATGGCTGATTCGCTTTGTTGTGCAACAGAAACTAACACAGTATTGTGAAGCAATTATACTCCAATAAAGATCTAATAAAAAAATAAAGCACTCTATCTCCTATAAGAATCAAAAGTCATTATTACAAATGATCAAGGATTGGCAATTCCACGTAAAAAAAGACACACAGAAAAACACGTGTCTATCTGTTAGCAAGCTCTACCATACGGGTAATGGGTGTCTACTCCCATACTTCACATGGTATGTGTTCAGACATGTGAAAACTACTGAAGAAATTCCACCAAATAAATACTAGTAAAGAGAAGGAAGTAAATATACTAAATTACATCCCACCCCCCAATACTTAGTACCATGTAGTTGTATAAGTACATCTAAAAATAAAAAGTATCTTTGATCTCACAAGTTGAGGCTGGGTGAAAAGTAGCATAACAATGGCATTACCTATATAAGTACTACGCTGTCATCAGGTCCAAAAGAAACATAAGGTTGTCCTCAGTCTCAGAATATTACAGTAGGTGCTACAGACTGTCCTTTCTGCTTGTAAGCTGCTTTTCATAAAGTCTTCTACTGCCCTTTCCCCCTCCCATTTGTAAGATACTCTACTGGATCCAAGAGGAGTTAAGATGTGTGATTCAAAACTAAGAGATGAAATCTGTGAGCTCCAAGATGGGTGAAAGAAAACGACAGGTACACCAATATGTATAAAACAGATAACTAATAAGAACCTGCTGTATACAAAATAAAATTCAAAAAAAGAAAAAAAAACGATAGGAAGAAACTGGACAGACACAATCTGATAGAGTATCTTTAAGCAGTCAACTATGAACATGACCAACGATTAAAAGCCCTAAGTCAGACCAGACTGTAAATAAAGACACAGGGGAGGGCATAGTGATTCCTGATTCTGCTTCCTAGCTGTACCCTAACCAGCTGCATGCTAGCGTGTGGGTAAAATTCACGAGTGGGTCTTAGTGGTTCTGCCAATCTGCTGAACTCACAGACCAAATACTCTATGTTCCTTTCTCTACCTGTCACTTTCCTCACACCCTCAAAGGAGTCCTGACCTACAAAAAAGGTCTTCTGTCTTCAGAGAAAACTCTGTACATGGGAAGAATGCACCTCAGTGGTAACAGAGCCAGTGGCCCTAAGGTCCCGGTACTCACCATTTCCTGGGAGAGGCTGCCTGGGCCGTGCAGACACAAACCAAGTAAAGCAAAGAGGACAATCGTTGGTAACTGTGACAGATACCATGAAGGAAAGGGAGGCTATCAGAGAACACCAGGGTTCCTACTTTAGGCTCCATAAACACATAAGACACGTATCCAAGGCCTCTCTGACAGCCAAATATTTAGGCTAAGGCTGGAATGATGAGAAGGAGCCAGTCGTGCAAAGGAAGGCTGAGTGAACAACTTTCTAGATTGAGGGAAGAGCATGTGCAAAGGCCCTGAGGTGGGAAATTGCAGATGCAAAACTGAGAAGCCCAGTGTGCCCGAAGTCCAAGGCGTGAAGGATGAGTGGGCACAAGACAGGCACGGCAAGGTACCTGGGTCTGGTTCGAAGTGCAATGAGAAGAACTAAAAGGTTTCAAATATGAACATGGTCTAGTTTATATATGCACTTCCCAGTTTTGAGACCACACATCATCCTCTCCAACACAGACACAAACCCATCAGGAGTGTACCTTTGTTGACAAAACCAACCAAAAAAGCCCACAAAGAACCCAGGGGTCTCAAACTGCCTCATCTGAAAAACAGACGAACAGTTTCTGAATAACAGTAAGATGCTAACCACGCGGAGCTGTTTGGAGATCTCGGGGAGGCTATCCCAGTCCTCCTCACAGGCCGCATGCCTCTAAAATTCTTCTAACAATGGATGGGTGGGGAGAGTTCAAGTTCAACATAAAGCACTGGAGAGACTCAAACATGAGTCAACTGCATATAAAGGTTTTATTCATAGCTAGTTTCCATTTGCAAGCAATTCTTCATAATGCCCCAATTTTGTGATATAATTTTAGTGAATTACATTCAATTTCAATTCTGGTAGGAAATAGTTGTCGTTTCAAACCCTTCAGGGTCCACCATTTATGGATAGGCCAGTCATTAGAAACGCGTGTGTGTGTGTGTGTGTGTGTGTGTGTGTGTGTGTGTGTAGGTGTGTATACACAGTTAATGCAGCTAGGAACACACACAGACTCATCCCGAGGTTGCACGGAAAACATCTGCAGCACGTGCCCAAGCTTTAGGGATTCACAACTAGGTAAGTTCTGAAAAGTAGGTTCAGAGGACGAAGAAAGATTCAGAACATGAAGTGGAAAGGAGGCCTGAATAAGAAAGAACACACTGCAGGATCCAGGCAGCCTATAAGAAGGCAACAGCCTCATCTCCTGCCCACATACACTCTGGTCTTCCTCGAATCCAACTGCCAAACTGCAGGAAGAGTAAAACCCGAAAGAGCTTTCCATCTCACCCAGTGAAAAAC